GCGCCAGAGAGAGCAAAGTAAATACAGTTGTAAGGCTCCTTAAGGCCTTGGAAAATATTAGAATTTCTGTGAATTAGGTCGATAATGTCGTTGTGTTGGTTGGTCCAAAGTCGAAGATTCAGTTTGTCATGTGCCAAATCCTCACATCTGTTTGTATGACTCCAGAGTCCGTTTTAAAGACTAAGAGGTACTTAAACATCGTTTTGTGCAGAGGTGAGAACACGATCTAAGAGTGACATCCAAATATCCTGTGCTTCCACAGGACGAGTCTACGACGGCAAGGTTTACACGGGGCTGTGCAACCTGAACGAGCGGTGGGAGCGCCTCTCGCTGGCGCAGAAGAAAGGCATCAACCATCGCTACCAGCTGGGCTGCAACTGCAGGGTGAGTGTCAACAGGCAACCTTTGTCCCAACAAGGATATGATGCTCATTTTTCCCAAGGCAACCAAATGTTATCCTGCTGGATGACCACTTATAAAGTTGATTAATATAACAGGATTTAAACAGCACAGGAGGAAGGATGTGTATACTTAGTTATGGTGGCTCTGTGTCATTAATTCTACTGCAAGCCATTGAACGGATTATTTTTTATCAAGATTGAAATATGAGCTCCTTTTTAAGTGTCTAATTCCCACTATTATTCATCACGGATGTTTAGCTGGGATCGAAATGGAGAAAAAAACAAGTTTTACTACTGTCACTGGGAATTAAGTAACAGGTCTGGAATCAGCTCAAGCCTCCCATTTCATGTGACTCACACATGTAGCTTGCTGCTGCGCAGCTGCCGAAACGCCTCATAAACATCCTACTGTACAGCGGCGCCGCGGACATCTGCTAACGCGCCGGGCCCCTATCAGTATAAGTGGATTAGCAGGGAGACCTGTTTGTTCCCAATACGGGCCAAAGCAAGTAAACTGTGCTCAGATTGTACGTGGCAGCAGCCCAGAGGCATCCGAAGAAGGCAATCAATCGGCTGAGGCGTCACGGCGACGGCCCTTAAGCGCAAAGCAGACACAGAAATCACTGCACTGTTTTAAAAAAACGCTCCTGTCCTTCGCATTCCTTCACAAATGAGGACTTACGGCACTGGAGCGCGAAGAAGCATGTCGTGGCAGCTTTATTACTCTCTAGAGATCATTAGAAGCACTCGAACTGAGAAGTTATGTCAGACATCTCTGAGCCACGGAGGATAAACTTTCTTGGCCTGAGTAACAAAAGCAGCCAAAAATGGCAAACGTGGCCTTTAATGTACTAATTGAATTTGCTGCTGAATTCATATCCAGATAAGTGTGATGACTCAGTTACGCAGCGCCCCGGTTAGTTATGTGAATCTTCCTGTCACTTCAGGCTGTATATTCATCTGTGAAGCTGCTTTTTGTGTGAGCACCTGGAGTGGTGACGCACGAAAGGCTAACATCGAACTGAATCCTTAACAAACTACAAAAAACTCTCGCTGCTTCAGGAAGACGTCAACCTTCCGTCGCACAAAGCAACACGTGCCAGTGTAGACTTACTGGGTTTGAGCTTAGTTATTTAGAGAGCTGTCATGTTTTTCCCCAGTCCCATCAGATCAATAAATCTGCTGCAATAAATCCCTGAAAGCAAACGCTGAAAGGCAGAAGAGCAAAGATGCATGTTTTGCTTGTTTCACCAAGCGTGTATGTCAAGTGTTTTTGAAGATCCAAGCTAGTTTTCTTAGCACTCATTAAGCTAATTCAACTTTGAACCATAAATAAACCTAAATACTGTAAACTCGAAGTACTTCAGGGAGCATCTTTCATACTGCCAAAATCTTCTTATTTTTGCTATGCTATGCTAACTAGCAAGCCAGATCCAAGCTCAACTAGTGTTACCATTTTCGGCCATTTTTAACCTCTTCTTGCAAAGCTAATAAGTGCTAAGCTAATTAGCGCTATGGTATGATATTTAGTTATAATATAAAAAGTAGTGCTGTCGGCGTTAGCCTTGTTAAAATGATGTTAACGCCATAACCACATTAACGCGGCAAATCTCTGTTAGCGAGTTAACGCGGATGGCCCCGTGCGTGGGGCTGCACGGTGTCAATGTATTAAGGTGCTAGCCGTGTGCTAACTTGACGGCGTGCAGCCCCGCGCACGGGGCCATCCGCTAACGCACGCTAACGAGGTTAACGCTGACAGCACTACTTTTTATATTATAACTAAATATCATACCATAGCGCTAATTAGCTTAGCACTTATTAGCTTTGCAAGAAGAGGTTAAAAATGGCCGAAAATGGTAACACTAGTTGAGCTTGGATCTGGCTTGCTAGTTAGCATAGCATAGCAAAAATAAGAAGATTTTGGCAGGATGAAAGATGCTCCCTGAAGTACTTCGAGTTTACAGTATTTAGGTTTATTTATGGTTCAAAGTTGAGCTAGCTTAATGAGTGCTAAGTTAATGTCATTTTAACGAGGTTAACGCTGACAGCACTCATAAAAAGCTGTTATAACTCAGTATCATGAATGTTCTAGCAACATGCCAAATCATTGGATAGTGCTTGTCAGGCTTCATCTCGGGTTTTTCTCCTTTCTCTGTAGATTAAGCCCTGCCACTACCTGCCCTGCTTCGTGACCTCCAAGAACGAGTGCTTATGGACGGACATGCTGTCCCACTTCGGTTATCCCGGCTACCAGTCCCGGCACTACGCCTGCATCCAGCAGAAGGAGGGCTACTGCAGCTGGTACCGAGGCATGACCACCCGTGATAAAACCACCATCAATGCCACTGACCCCTGAACACAAACGCCCTCTGACTGAAACTCGCTGCCGCCTCCCAAACTCCGTCCCATCCCTGGTCACGTTTAGAGTATTACAGGACTGTTCGAGCTCACCTGCCTGGGTGATGTCCCCCTTTTAAAGGGGTAATAAATGAAAAAAAAGAGCAAATCTATTACAGTGCCTGTTTGTAGCACTTCTGATAGAAAATAATACCCCCCACCCTCCCTTTATTTTGTACAGCTTGTCCTGTGGCTCCTTTTCGCTTGTACTACAAACACCGTCCTTTGCACCAAGTTGACATCGGTGACAAAGACAGAAAGGGCCAATAAAAAGTGTAAGACCTCGCTCCACCTACTGAGAGCTTCTGAAAAGATTTAATCATAAGTATCATTTACAGCATCAGTATCATTGGCTTTAATTAGCAACCTGCAGTTTAGCTAGTAGCTAGTGTCAGGATCATTTGAACGAGGAGAAGTCTCTAAAGCAAAAGCCAGGAGGTATCAGACGAAGTACACTACGAAGATGATCCTTTGTAAATTTGCTGAGTAAAGCTAGCTTGTTGCTATCAATATACCGAACATGGCCGAAACAGCGCCAACATATTATATATGTTAAAGATACACGTCTATTTTGGCTTCAAACCAATGGAAAATGTTTCACAGTGAAGTATTCATCGGTTATGTTCAGTTCGAACTGTCACACACGTCTTTATTATGGTAGTAAGTCTGCTTCCTGTTTTTAACGCGACTGTTGCGCACTGCTTCACAAAAGTAACACAGTGCCAGCGCGGGGAAGCGCCCGATTTCTTGCAGAGATGGTGATGTTTTATTTGTTGCTGTATATAAAATAAGCTACAGAAATCAACTCATCTGAAACCTCTATTACATTTATTTATATGTTTATTGGGTTATACTATGTGGTATATGTGCGTACAAGAAAAACAGGCCAAATCATATCGTGAACTCACTGCAGTGTATTAAATGAAGCACCAGCATCAGCATATTGAACATTATGGTACTATTATGGTAGTTTGGTTTTTTTGGCTTCATTATAATCCCCCACACCCCTCCCCCCCCAAGCTGGTACTCGTTACCAATCTGATAAAATTAAAATTATAACAGAGGTTTCAGAGAAGGACATATTTTGTAAGTGTATATTCAATCTTTTTTTATTTAACTATTTGAGATGAACATTATATATAAATGAAAGTAACAATATATTGTCACTAAATTCATTCTTGTTCGCCTGTTCCCGTCTGGGGTTTTCTCTTATTTTTACTTCCCTTCATTCCAATAACGGACACAGACTGGCCTCACAAAGAGGAAGAGCCCATTCGTAATTTATGCTAAGAGAGCACCAAGCACAGAAAAAATGCTAAAAGAATACTGATATCACTCTGACATGTTTGTGCTAATTATGCATCTATTTTTGGCAGTGATTTAGCCTAGTTTATGGTAGCTTAAAGCAGGATACTGTAAACTGCCTCGCATAGCATAGTAGAGAGGAAGGACAAACTATGGTGTTTTAAAATTCGTTTAAACACTACTGTGTATGTTTCATATGTTGAGACGGTTATGCTAGCTGTGCTATTTCCAGACTATGTGAAGCTAGGCTAACTAGGTTGTGTTTCATTTATGGTCCATTTCTGGTTATCTGTTACTTTTTTTATCCCTTTAATTTCTACAAAAATTCTATTTTTTCTCTTATTTGTTTTTTTTTGTTTTTTTTGTCTTTTGTCTTTTGTTTTTTAAACAGCATTTTGAGCTAAGGTTAGCCGGGAGCTCACTTTTTTTTTTTTTTCTTTTGTTTTTTTTTTTTTTTTTTTTTTTTTTTTTTTTTACTTTTTTTTTTTTTTTTTTTTATGACTGAATTTTTCAGCAGTATTTAGTTTATCGTTCTTCGCCTCCATACATAATGAGCTCTTCCTCCAGCTGTGGTATTCTGTGTCATTATTTCTGTGGTTCATGTTTATGTAAATATACTATCTGCTTAACACAGAAATCAGTCAAAAGGAAAAAAAATCCAATCAAGGAAGCTGTGTACAGTCTGTGTGGAAACACTGATTTATGAATTATGTGGGTTGGGGATATTTCCTTGTTGGGGTTGTAGAAATGTTTGACTTAATTTCTGTGTTTTATATTTTTATAATAAAGACTTACTGAAAAATGCTCCACAGGAGGTCTTTGGTGATTTTTGTGCACATCCTTGAGAGTGACCCCCCCCCCTGTTGAAGTGAAGAATAATATCTGCGAGGCACTCACCATCTGTGTGTGGTTGGGATAAAACGTTTGTTCATTCAGGGGGAATTTCTCAGGGCCGAGGGAGCGGTACAGCTTAATCATTTGAGAAAACTGCAAGCAGAAATAAACAAGACAGGAAGACGTCATTATTTAAGAAGGACGACAAACAGAAACTTCTATAAGATTCATGCGTGTTAACGACTTTTAGGAGCAGAAGATATGGATCGTCTGAAACTCCAGGTTTGGTTTTGTTTGTTTATAAAATGTGGCCTGGTACAGTTAGACCCACCTGTCAGTGTGAGGGTTTGAACACCTGTTCTTCTAAAATCAATAATCCATTTGTTTACGCCCCGAGCGAATTCTTTCTTGGAGTTATTTATTCTCGAGGTGCTGGAATTTCCTTTCCAATAGATTTGTCTTCAGACCTGCTTCGGTTCATTGTTTTAAACGTGTTGCATTCAGCAGTTGGTTAACATATACAGCATGATGGGTGCATTACTGGTGATTAACCACCTCATTTTTTAACTTGTGCTTTGTAGAATGAGTAACAGAAGTGTAAATATGTAGTGACGAATGGCACCTTTAACAAAACTGTGCTGCATATTTCCTGCTTTAAACCTAAATTTATGACCTCTTTCAAAGCATCTACATACTTTTCACTGCAGTTTTGTAGCTTTTCTCAGCACTGTGACTAAAAACACGTGGTGGCCGAGGCCGCCCGCTCTGCTGGCTCGAATCACAGGTGTTGCAGCTCCATTTAATAGCACAAATAAATCAGTCGGAGGCAGCTGCCGAGGGAGGGACTTTGCGACACCTTTGTGTGGGTTAAAGTATAGCAAAGAGAGCCGTTACGGAGCGCTTACCACCCAGGGTTTGCTGCAGAAGTTGTATATGGAGAAGAGAGAGTTGACGCTCGGAACGCCGCCAAAATGGAGGCCGATGACAAGATTCCTGAAGTCCTCACCGGGAATCATGCTGTAGGCGTGCTGGCGAATCAGAACAAAGTCTGGCTTGAAGGACCTGCAGCGGGACGGATATGGAAAAGGAACCATCAGACTGGGCCTGTTGTCAAGGTTACGCATACAGTTAGGCTGTTTAGGGTTAGAGTAGCGAAGAATTCAGGCAGCTTTGACTCAATAGGTAGAAGTAGAGCAAGGTTGGTGGTTCAATCCTGGGCTCCTTACCTGTGGTTGTGTTATATGTGTCCTTAATGACTACATAGTGTGGCTTGAGTGTTCAGAGAAAGCAGGAAGCAGCGTACCTGGTCTGACTGATCAACATGAAATCTTTGCAAGCTTTTGCACCCACACGTGCCAGACATCTACAGACTTTAGTGATTTCCTTTTCACCAAAAGTAAAATGTATCAAAAACTGTTGGACAAAAAAGTAATCATGGTATTTGATAAATATTCATCTAGTGTCATTATAGGATCCAGTTTAGTTTGTCCAGTACTTCTCTTTATCGACACATATACATCCTGTTACGGGCCTAGCAGGGCCTCCTCCTGAAGGTGCCTGTGTGGGCGTGTCCCACCACCTCTTCTGCCTGAGGTGCCACCTTTCCCTTTTGTGCAGCTGACTCTCGTCAGTAATCAAGCAGATTTAAGCCCAGGGAAAGGTGAGCTCTGGGCCAGAGTGCCATTAGTGTGTTTGCAGCTAGTGAGCTGCGTGTCTGTGTTTGCAGCTAGTGAGCTGCGTGTCTGTGTTTGCAGCTAGTGAGCTGCACTCTTTTGACTGACTTTGTGCTTTATTGACTAAAATTTGAGTTTTGTTTGTTTCTTTAAATGGTGATAGCGGCTTGTCAGTCTCTTTTAGTTAGTTTTAATAGAAACTTTAATAAAACTCTTTAATTTAACCCTTATGCCTTGTCTCATTTTTCTGACCCGGACACTTTTTGTTACTTCCCCCTCACCGCCTAGACCCCTCAGGGGAACGTAACGCATGCATATGTGACTCTTTTGGCAGATCATAACCATCCACCCACTCCTCCATGTAACAATCAACTTCCTGTTTAACACCTAACCTGACAGCACTGAGGGCAAACATCTCCAGCACAGCGTCTCCCTGCAGGCTGACAGCTCTGTCGGCACATTATTAACACACTATATCTGGACGCTGTGTTTACAGTCAGGCCCTCTGTTGTTCGGTGCATCGAGCTGATGGGGTAAAGTAATGCTTCTTTGCAGCACTTAATCTTTTTGAACCATCTATCCAATTAACCCAGCCTAATCCTTCTTTTTTAGACACTTTTCTGGGATCAGAGCCAAGTGGCCCATCACCCACCTGAAAGCCTCTTTTAAACTAGCCCACATTTCATAGTAACAATGGGGAATTCAGTTTGACTTTTATTTATTTATTTACCTGGAAACTTTAAAGTTCTATACAAATGTTCCTGCCAATTGTTACATTGATGTAACAATTATTAGAACCCGGCCAATATATGACCAGTATTTGCTCATTTGAAAATCTGACATGTTAGGGGATGTTTTTTTGGGGAAATAAACATTTGCTATGTGAATTTCTGAGTCTTTACTTTGGCAATGAAGATCTTGTTTTATTATGACAACGAGTTACGGATTAATAGTTTACGCTGTGCCGCACTCTGCTCAGAACATCAGGTTTTAGTGTTCTAACCATACGGGATGCTGCAGGGTGCCCTCTAGTGGACAAATTGTGCAACATCGACATTCATAAGGGCGTTTCTCCCACCTGTTCTTTACTTTTTCCAATATTCATTAATTTATCAGCCGTCATAAAAGTCGATACAGACATACAGGCAAATAGCTAAAATCAGCCAATATATCAGCTCCGCCCATTAATTTGATCAGGCTCTAAAATTGATCTCAATCATACGGCGACGTCTGGCTTACACACAAAAGTGTCCATATTTAATAAATTGGTCATGAGAGACTCACCTACCCATTTCCAGAACTTGGTGCATAATGACACTGATGTAAAACGACACATTGTATTTACTTGTGAGATTCCAGTGGCTTTGAAACAAAGATTCAACACACAGACTGGTAAAATCCTCGCACTCACGTTTCCGTGGTTAGTACCAAATCTGACATGCTCCGACATGATTTTCCTAAAGGAAGCATCGGCCCGCTGCAGGTGGAAACCAAGCTGATGAGAGCGGTGAGACTAAACCCAAACAAAGTTGTGGGATATAAAACCAAAACAATGAAAGACATCGAGGCAATTTAAAGCTGATGGAAACTACAGAGTGGGAAAATTCTTTGTTGCTAAGGGAGACGCTTTTTGACACATTCCCCTTGTGACAAATACTTAAACGTATTAAAACAGAACTCAAAGGTACACAGCAAGCCACTGGATTACCTGCAGTTACAGACACAGGTGCGTGCAGCAGGTAGAGGCTGAAATTACAGACTCTGTGGTCCTCAGGCGCTGCTCGTGTTAGACTGCACAGAGAAGACTGGCAGGACGGCCGAGGAGTGATCTGTCCTCGGCGACAGAGCGACTACAGCTGTTCCTCCCTGCTGCTGCTGCGCTCGGCCGCAGTGGCAACAGACCAAAGGCTCTGCTATTTATACTGGACGGAGCTGTTTATTGAAGCCCAGAACCCGACCAGACTCGACTGCTTCCTAAACACGGGACGTGCCGTTCCAAGCAAACTCCATCCTGGTTACAACTGTGCACGAGCAGTTTAATCAAGGAACACCTTATTAGCCTCAAACAACCTACTTGATTGCACTACTTGATTATAACAGAACGCAGCGGTCGTTCAGCACAGTGGGATTTCACTGGGCTAGAGTTAATGAAGGCAGTGCCCTGGAGCAGCAGAGCATCACTGAAGTTTGCCACCTCATCCTGTTAAAGCACTGCTTCCTGCGAGCCACGGATTAACCCCGAAGCAGCACGTTTATGTTTTACGATGCGAATACCTCGGGCCCCGAGACTCACCGCTTCACAGGCGATATTCTAATGTGGCCTTTGAATAGGTTGCAGTGCAATAAAAGGCTAATAAGAGGCTCAGATGGGGGAAGAGCACAGATATAGATTAGGAGGTGAGGACAGAAAGGATCCGTGTGGATTCATAAGGCCACAGATAAGACAGGATTTGTAAAGTAAGCCAGTCAGGGACCGAGTGGGTGGTTCTGTGTGGCGCGTGCATGTTATTTCTGCATGCAATATGCATGTATATTTCAGTATCAACAGGTCACTTCACAAAAGCCCTCAAAACAGGGAGGTGTCACTGCACAACAGGAGCTGTGTGCAAATATGAGCTAAAGTATGTGCTGATTATAAGTCATAGAAAATGTTTGGGAGCTGCTGCTGACATTATTTTAAGTCAACATCTCATCTCATGACTCCTTGCTCGTGAATGCAGCCGCTCCCCGTGACGAACCCACAGAGACAAACTGCCTGACTCTGCAGTTTCCCCCAGCTTTGTGGGTGAGTTTCAGCATCTCACGTCTGGTTGCTTTGGCTTTGCAGGTTTTGAATTGAATATTTCGGCAAATGGTTAAAGCTCCAGATCCATCATACAACCCTTTAAACGCAGGTCAACAGCTAGCTGGGGAACACGGGACCGTTTGGTTGCTCCAACAGTAAAATATTTCCCCTTGAAACGGGTGACAGAAAATAGATCCAGAAGAAGGGTGATTACTAATTTGTCACACAGACAGACTAACATCTCCAAAGTAATATTTTCTCTGCTTTGGTTTCATGAGAAACCCCCAAAAAACAGCCAACTGTATGAGTTTGTGCTGTGTTTGCGTTTCCACTGCTCCAGTGAGAAAAGGTGCAAATTCTATAGGACAGGAAGAGTCATAGCACAAGGCAGGTCTCAAAGCACAGATAAACATGTTTAAAACAGGACACTTTATAGTGGCTGTGAATACACATCGAGCCTGGCAGTTACGTAAGCCCATCATAAAATATACCGCACAACAGCGCCAGCAGGATGTTTTCATCAGCATTCTTGGAGCAGGAAAGTATTCAACACTCAGGACAATATGCTGCCGTTTGGTCTCCAGATCCATTTATCATACAGAATCTCTGACCTTCTAATAGGCTCCAAAGGGATGTCTGAATTGTGGGGAACATTTGTTCTCGAAACGGTCCTGTGGCTGTTTCAAAAGCTGGTGAGGGCCTTATCTTCCTCCATCAGTCTGTCTCTCATTGATAAGCATAATCGGGGTAGCACTCGGCGGGAATGCCACAAATGTCAAACAGTACATACCGAGGATCAGCACAGCGCTCGTACACAATGGTGCATTGTGCCGCGCTGGCTCCCTGTCATCAGAGGGAAATGCACCTTAGAGAGAGAAGTCTGTGCTTTCCTGTTAGGAGGACGAAAAACTCTCAATCAGGCCACAATCGTTTTATGTGTATATGTGGGGAACATTTCCTACTTCAAGACAACTACAGGACAGATGGTTTTCTTTACAACTTTTACTTTTTTCATGAGGTATAGCTCTCTGCCACTTTTTCTTCTTCAGGATTGACTGAACACACTAAGGCAGTTTTTCCTTAACCCTTTAAGACCTACCATAGAACCAAGTCCGCCAGAG